GCTCAGTATGCCTAAGCTTACAGCAGCTTTGTTTTTGTAGCTACCACCATTTTACACCAGTTACATTTATGCAAAATAAATAATTAGCAATATAGCTTACCTTTGCTGATAAATGTGTATTAACTTGGTTGTATACCACATATTATTCTTGAATTTGTTATGAAACATTTGAACATTCTTTCACCTGTAAAGATTAAAATCAATTTAACAAGGATGCTGCAATGCAAGTACTCATATCTCTATTCTCCATATAATATAGGTCTAAAGTTAATTAACACATGCTCCTTTTTAAGTGTAGACCACTAATCTTAGCAGGTGCAAACTACAATAGGCGACATAACTGTAGGGCTAATACAGAACGCGGCTTGCGCGAGAGTGACATAGCATTCTCTATGCGAGAATAGCAGTATCTCAGGCTTTATGTCGCTGTCGCGCAAATCGCGCACTGTCATGCTAGCCCTACTGATTTCTATAAAATTGCACAATATTTAGTCTAGCCTACACTGATGATGATGAATTGTCTCTTAGCCCGAATTGTATAAAATAAGTGCTACCTGTAGACACTTTTAGCAGTGTCATTACTAAGAATAGTTAGTGCCTCAGTTATTTCCTATATGGTCACAGATTGATATGCCTATCACTGTATAACTACAGGTCATAGACACACTTCTTGGCCACTGTCCTTGACCTATAATAGGTCGAAGAGTGTCCTTGATTTATAGATCAAGTGTGTTTATAACACATAATTAAATGTGAGAAATTAATGTGGAAGTCATTCAGGTAGAGAAGTTGACATGTGCAAATACTAATGGGATTTAATGTGTAGTCTCTATACTTTCAAATTAATGCAATGAATTTGTAAAGTCCAAATATTCTTTATTACTAAGAAGCAGTGTGTCAAAAGCCATTTTGTCAATTGTAATTTAAAAGTATGTCCTTGTAATAATTTAATTTAATTTCGTAATTTTTTGAAGATAATTATACACCATGTTGAAGCTATTATTCTTATAAATTACGTTATGGCAATGAGGTTGGTATAAAAGATTCGTAATTTTTGCTCTAGTTTGGGATTCAATTATTCACCACATATTTTAAAATATTGATAATGAGAGTTGACAAATACACAAATATCACTTATGTACATGCATGGCAAAGGGAATATTTTTTGCCTTTTGAACAGCGGTGTCTAACTGTCATCGAACCACGCACTGCAAATCGCTCAAATATCCTTCTTCTGGACCATAAAAGCTCTTTCTAAGACTACTGAGCTGTAGAAATGTGCGTTTAAACAAAAAGCATTTAAAGAAAATAAGCGTGCTTATATCTTTAAAATAAGCACACAAGCACGCTTATAATTTCAAGTTGTAAGTGTTGTGTTCAGAATTCAACAATTTCCCGCCATCTGCGTTTCCTAAGCATATAAATTTGCCATTGTGAATAATAATGTTGTAAATAAAAATAAAACTTGTGTTTTGCAGTTAAACTTACTGGCCTACTCTTGCTTTTCATTGTCAACACAATGTTCCAAGCTGTTTAATTTAAAGTTTTGAGCCTAAATGTTTTTCTAAATGTTTTCAAACCAATATAAAATAAAAATATTTTAAGTGAAAGCGTTTTTATGGGCACGCTTAAAAATTAATATGCCGTTGTTTCCATATCTATTCAGCAGTAAGTACAAGGACATCATATTTCCCCAGAAGTTGCAAGTACTTACTGCACCTGGTAATTATTGCTTGACTATTGCTCTTATTAGGTCATTTCACCTTCTACTATTACGTGCACAATATGACTCACTTTAGTTAAAGTTTCAGAATTATAAAATTACTTCTATTACGAAGGTTATCGTGAAATTCAGTTTGCTAGGATTATGTAAACATCAACAATTACTGCAATACTAATAAAACTTACGTGTTTCTAAACCTTTTTTGATTATGCACGTAGCTTCTAATGATTACTACAGAAGTCTACAGTGTTATCGCTATCAGCAACTCAGATACAACGTAATTATTTACGAAACTCAAAAAATCCTATCTGTCAAATAATCCAAGGTTGATTGTTTCACTAGAAATTTCTAGATTTTTTTAATATCACTATGTCAAGGATAGATTTTTACACTCATTACAAGTTACTAATCCACCAAATTAAGTTTTGAGGAAATAATAGTGAATAAATTAACAAAATCTCGAAATTAGGTTATAATTTTGTTTTTCACTTCGAGTTTGTACTTTGTACGTAACGTAATAGTGATGTTGCCCTTATCGATTCTGTATTTATCGGGTCTAAGTGAAATATTGCTTTATATCTCTAAAGATTCATATTAATCAGATAAAAAATTAGTTTACTTACATAAATTGAAACGACATTATCATTCAATAGGGAACTAACTACAGTTGGTAGGAAATTCGTGCATGCGTTACTAATATGATTTGATTTGATACTTACCCAATATTATTTACATGAACTTACATTAATTTAAAAATAATTATCAAATAGTGTTTGTTCGTGTTCGTACAGTCAAAAACTCATCAACATATCAGTTTGACATTTTGAACGTTCTTATCATAAGTGCCATAGAGTTTAATTTGAATCTTAACTGTCAAGCTTGAAGTGCTCTTGATCCTGTACAAATATCTACAGAGGTGGGCAGTGAACTTGTATAATATTAATGTATAAAATGTTATCCGACATGCCGATATTGTACAGCTCATACAAGTTGTCATAGAGCATCTTGAAATAGCTCAAGATGTTATGGACCTTAACATCGTAGAGGATGTGTACATACATAGAGTTTGTCCACTGTGTTAAGCAGGAAGATTTGACTTATCTAATAGTGTACTGAGAATTGGATTTGCCAAATATTGGAACCCAGATGACCAGTGACCACTGCCACTTTTTTGTGGGAACATTCAGTTACTCGGAATAGCATTGAAAACTGTAATGAGGCGGCAAATCCAAGGTAATTATATATAAACGACTCTACTTCCTTCGGAGTTACGGGAGAAAGATGACCATAGCACACATAATCAGCTTATTTTATATTAGGTTGAGCTGCTAGCGGTGGAATGTGTGCTACGTGACATGATTTGAAGTTAGCGCGCGCAGAGATTGCCCTTGTACAGAGTCAAGAGCACGTCAAGCTTGACATTTAAGACTTAAATCCAACTCTATGCCGCTGACGATAAGAACGGTCCAAAGTACAAAGTGTCAAGCTTGACGTGCTCTTGACTGTACTAAAATTACATATCTGTTACTTTTTAAGCGTTCTCAGAGAACCTTCAAAATTATTTTGCAAAGCACATACAAGCTACAACTTTGATCAACCAGGCTAATATTCCTAATTATTTTCGAGATACGTTTTCTCTAATCCTCATTAAAAGTCACTACAAAATTAACTCTATATTATATTATTGTTATGTCCTAATTTCGACATTTAAAGGTATGTACTGTGTACTCCTCGTGTACTTTGTAGTATAGTTTAAAAATAGTTATTTTTGATACAAGTGCGGAAAGTTAGTCATTATTCACGAGTCTCGAGGCACCTTGGCCCGAGCCAGAGGCGAGGGTCAAGACTCGAGACAAGTGAAAATGGCAAATCCGCGTGTGTATCAAACAACGTTTTTTAATACATTGAAAGTAAAATAAAACAAAAATGCGAAAAATACCACGTTTTGAGCAACTGTATTAAAAAATCTTTTTTAATACAGTTGCTCAACACGTGGTATTTTACGTATGACAAATCGTGCCGAAAGTAGGTTTTTCGCACTAGTGTTTTTTACTTTTCCATTTTTTTTTAAATTAGTTGTTATTTCATGTCTTAAACATAGAACTAAAGAGGTTGTATATTTATTTAATAATTATGTGCTTTATGACGTAAGTCATTCGTCGTTAAAACTTATCTTTTGTTTAAATTGCATAGGTGTTTTATAAAACAATGAGTTACATTTAAAAATACCAAAATATTTTCCATAAAGAAGGTTGATTGAATATTTATTGGAGTAATATATAGAATACGCTTTGAGCACACGTCCTTTATTGTGTATAGCGCAAATTGTTTAACAGAAATTACAAATTAACCATTAAAGTAAAAACAACCATATTCTAATACAAGACAGCTAGTGAAATCAACAACTTGTTACTAGGCAACCTAAACTATCGGTAACATAGGTTGTGAGCATATAGGATTATGCCGCGAGTTTCAACTTCTTAAAATCAATAGTATTAACAATGACCGCAAGTAAGTATTACGCGAGACTGCTACGCGCCGCGCCACTAAAATAGTAATTTTAATGTGGCTGAATACTGGCAACAGTTGCCATATTGAAAAAAGTCGGCCAAAAAAAGTACTAACTTTTTTTTCATTTACGTTAACGCCTTTTTCATTTAATTTTTGTTTAATACTGTTTTATTTTACTTTCATTGTAGTTTTTTCGCAAATGTATTAAAAAACGTAGTTTGATACACGTGCGAATTCGTCATTTTTCACTTGTCTCGAGTCTTGACCCTCGGTTCTGGCTCGGGCCAAGAAGCCTCGAGACTCGTGAATAATGACTAACATCCGCACTTGTATCAAAAGTAACTATTCATTCATATAGATAATACTAACCGATTGATTTACACTGATATTTTTGATCAGTATAAATCGGAAACTGACATCACTAATTGCAACTTTCTAGGAAAGGCTTTTTGCTAAATCACATTATGGAAGAAAATAATTGCATATTAGTTATCTCACTCGATCTTAAATAATTTTAAACATAATGTATTACAAAAACAACACGTCACTCTACGTTCTAGTGTACGCAAAGTCTATAGTGGCTGGTTCAAATATTTCATTTTGTACTACTCTTATTAATTGTTATTAATTGATATATAATTTATATAGGTAATGAAATAATTCACGTTGTGTTTTAATGTTTTGGCCTATCTTTTAAATGTTTTTAATATTCATTTCAAAGATTAAATCAATTTATCATAACTGTTTATGAATGTGATAGTAAACTTGCGTGAAACGCCGACAAAACATTTCTCTTTTCGGGCCAACTCATCGGTTTCTCCACACAGAATTATGTTTATTTTCAGTTTTAAATGTGATCAATTGTAAATTATTTACATCTTTAGAGTCATTAAAATTGCATAATTGAGATGGAGGTTTATTATCTCGTGTTTTTTTTGAGCTTGTTTTGGCATGGCAGCGACGGGATCATGTGGAGTTTGGCTCCGAACACACAGAAGTGTCTGAAGTCGGAATTACAGGCTAATGTACTGGTAGCAGGAGAGTACGATGTTCAAGAGGTGCCTGGTCAGCGTGTTGACTACATTGTAAGTTAAAAAAATAGAATTTTGTTATCAATTTTCCATTCCATTCAAAGCGTTGTCAGACGGCCGTCTGTCATCATTTGTTGGCTAATTTACGCTATGTATTTTATACTTGTTGTTTAAATGATATAAATATTGACCTTTGTTCATGTTCGAACGTTAAAAGTTATTGAAAACTGCGATTTAGAGGTTACATCAAAACTTCAAATAACAAAATTTACCAGTTAGAAAGTACGAGTGTAACTGCGGATACACGACGGTTTTTATGAATATAAAGTTATTATTACATTCTGAACGTTTCTGGTTACAAGGCTAGACTTCTGCTAACTCTTCTACGACCAACAACGGTAAACAAGTATCCTAAGTAAGTATCCAGATTTAACAAAATTTTCTGATTTGCAGGTGCGTGATTCCAAAGGCCACATCTTGTCACAAAGGGAAAGCATCACTAAAGGCAAATTCACGTTTGTGACAGACTCATATGATACTTTTGAAGTCTGCTTCTTCTCCAAGGTTCCACCAGGTGAAATTTTATTTATATATTATATTGTACACACAATAATTTCAAAGAATATCATATATTGAATATAGTGCAGATACTAGTAGTGTCATTTGCATTAAAAAGAACATATAATAGCCTGTTGAGGTGGTAAAAATCAAAACTTTTGCTTATCTAATGGTTAGTAATTCTTGCCACTTCTCATAGCTTATAAAGATAAGTTTGATTGTTTAATTTGGTGATACAGTTTTGTACTTAAAGTATAAGTTGCAATCAGAGTAACAAAATTATACCATATCCATGAATCAATGTCACTTGCACTATATGCAATGCATATTATGTTGTTATATAATTTATTTCTTATTCGTCACAATTTGTTTTTGTATTATTTTCAGAACGACGCAGTGTCAGTCAAGATGTCACTCTGGACCTTAAGATTGGAATTGAAGCCAAGAACTATGAAGGCGTAAGTATCGTACTTAAAGAGCTTCAGCTCAATATATTATATAATTATGACTTCATATCAACATTTATAGAAAGTACGGCTTTCTGTCTCACTGCATTTCCATGTTTCAGAAAATCTCTGGTAAAACTAGACTTCAGACTCTATTTCAAAAGTAGGTTTCCTTACTGAATGTGAACCATTTAAGTAATCGAAACATAATATTTTAATGAACTCAAATGATAAAAATAAAAAAAATAATCATGCACGGAATAAACAATGGGCGTCTGATCGTTCTCCAATCGTCACAGATTTATACCTAAGCTCCACTCTAGAAGGATGCCATGTCTATGAAGCTCGAATAAAAGCACCGTTGACTTAGTAGATTTTTTAATACATATTAAATAATTCACTTAAATTTCAAGTGTCAAAAACACCAAAAATTTTTGAGTTTCGAAACCGACAAGGTGCGTAGCGTCAAAATGAGTTTAGTCCTTGCTCCCTGAATTTAGTTCTCTTTCCGTTTTGATACAAGGAAAATGCAGTTGGTTTTTTTATGATATCAAGTGACAGGACGAACAAATCAGAGCTTTAAAAGGCAAAGATCTGAGGGGTACTGCTATTGCGCCCGTCACTCTGAGACAGACGTTGACAAGTCTCATGTGCCTATAGTTTCACCAAAACTACAGTCTTACAGTCCTAAATCACAACATTCTCCTAGGCAACCTAAAATGCATGACAATTTACTATTTATTCTTATAATAAGGTATTTTTGCTTTATATTTACATGTTATATAATTATGTGCCTTACTCCACCATCACCATAATCGTGTATTTGAATTTGACGAGTTAAGAACCTATTTTACACGGTGTATTTTATACGCGCAGATGACGCGCCTAAACGCGATGCAATCGCAGCGAGTAAACCTTTGCACACGTTCACAAATTCTGTGGCGCCGTTCTGTTAGGTGATGCCGTTCTGTTAGGTGATAGTTTTAATTTTAGTTTTGTTCGTTAATTTTTGTTAGTTTTTTTAATAAAGCAACTGTATGAAATTCTAAGTGTAAACTCTTCTGAGTATGTAAGCTTTTTGCTTGGAACGCGATGTTTGCGCGCGTTTGAAAGCTTCGAACGCGTTCTTCGCACGAGTCTATCGCGTTTGAACGCAACAATCTGCGTTTTGAGCCTCTACGACGCCGTAAACGCGCGTCCTTTGTCGGCGCTTATAGAATTCACCGTATGAGTAGGCTCTAAGATAAAAAGTTGTGATTCCACATAATCTCATCGCAGAAAAACAGATTTAGTCGGTACACTGTTATAAAGTTACACGTATCGGCTAAACCAGTAGGGCTAGCACGAGAAAGCGCGACTTGCGCGAGAGCGCAACTCTGCGACTCTTTTCCTGCTGCACATCAATGACCTGTTAGTCCCAGGTATTGTTGGGTATGCAGATGACAGCACTGTTACGGAAAGATATCTGTCCAGCGCAAAGGTCAGCTGGGTAATTATCCGTTCATTGAGAGAGGCCATGGTGGAGCGGACGAACTTGACCTTAAGTCTTCTCTCTAGTAGTGGGGAGATGACAATCTGGTCGAGTTCAACGCCACCAAAATGCAGGCCTGTCTGTTTACTGCTAAAAGGAGTCAATTTGATCTGACTCCCACTTTTATTATTATGTATTTATTATATCTGTTTCTCTTACTGACAGCCTAGATCTCCTTGACATAACATTGAGCGCAACCCTTAACTTTGGCGCTTATATTGAATGTAAGGCACAATTTGCAGCCAAAAAATTGGGTATCCTTAACAAAGTTAAGCGATGTTTCACGCCTGGACAGCTCTTAACTTTATACAAAGCACAAGTCCGATCTTCCATGGAGTACTGCAGTCACCTGTGGGATGGCTCAGCGAAGTATCAACTTGAGGGTCTCGATTCGATTGAGCGTAGAGCCAGAAGACTTATTGGCGACGTTAAGCTCGAATCTAAAGTTCACAGTTTGGCCCACCGGCGCAAAGTTGCCCATCTATCGGTTTTTTACAGAATATATTTCAGTGAGTGTGCCCATGAGGTCCATCAGCTCATCCCGCCCCCTTTTACTATCGGACATCCAGACATACGGCGGGATATCAACCTTACTTGGTCGATGTTCCCTTCAGGCGTACTAAGCGCTTTTTATCATCTTTTAGTATGCGCATAGCCCAGGAATGGAATTCCCTGCCTGCGTCTGTATTTCCGAATTCATACAACCCGGGTATCTTTAAGGAGCGACTGAATAGGCATCTTCTGGGCAAGCTCGTTCCATCGTAAATCCTGTCTTTGCTCCAGAGCTAGGTAGTGGTTAAGAGCAAGTCCATCTAATAAATAAAAAAGCGACAAAGCGCGGAATTTCTATGCGAGAATAGCAGTAGTCGCTCTTGCGCTACTCGCGCTCAATCGTGCTAGCCTTACTAGTTTACTACAACTATTCCCGACTATTTATGATTCACAAGCTAACCTAAATTAGGTACTCCGGTCCTCGGCGTTTTTATTTTACTTGTCAGATTTAAAATATATATTTATGGTGACCCTGGAATAAGGCACGCTCTGTAACTTATTTTCATATTTTTCTTTATCGGTCGACTTCATCTTCAATTCAGCAGGATTGGGTAATGAAGTGTGAAGTGTTTTCAAATTAACAAATCTTGGAGAGAAATGTAACACGCATGAACTTTTTTCTTACAAACAGTTCATTGTATACTAAAACATATTATTGTAGCACAGAAAACTATGAATAACTATCATTAATCCTCTCAGAAAATCCAAATATTTGAACAATAAATTAAGTTATTCAGTTTATTTCAATAACTTAATAGGTCCTTTGAAAAAAAATTAACCAACCCCTCATGGAAGAAGGCATAAGTGGAGTACATCAGACATCGACTAATATTGTAGATGAGTTACAAGAATTGGAGAGGATGCGGGTTATATTTTTCTGTATCTAATGGAGCAATATACATGCTTAACGTAACTTCACTTATGCCATTCTTCCATGATGGGTGCGATTGTTAATGGTGGTTGATTATTGCATGGTGTTTTGGTATATCGTCACTTGTCATCCTTGAGCGAGTGGGCGAATATCCCATAGTGTGTTGCACACTTTACATAGCAGTTCATTAAAACTCCCTTAGCACAATTACAGATCGGTGAAGCAGCCAAGCTCAAGCCGGTGGAATTAGAGCTGAAGCGACTGGAAGACCTGTCCGAAGCCATTGTGCAGGACTTCACGCTCATGAGAAAGCGTGAGGAGGAGATGAGAGATACTAATGGTACGCCTATATCTTGAATGTTACAATAATATCACACTTCCTAAAATAAAGTGACATAATTCGGAAACTAAGATTTTTGGAAAAATTACAAAATAATTCTTAATACAAAGATTGAACACAAGAAAAATTTTACACAAACATTATTATGGGAACATTAAATAGAAAATTATCGAACAATTAGCGTCTCCCGAGGTGGCACCGTAGAGATGGCGGTGTTTGTGATAATATATAACATTCACTTCCATTTTTATTAACACGGATTTCCGCAAAGTAACTCCTGAATCTATTAATTACATTACCCGTATTGACTTTTAATATATCTAATAAAAATTTGTCATGTTTAATAATTTCATTGATGCTAGTAGGTAATATATTTTTTGATATACTTTGTCAGTTAAAGATTATTTTCGAATTGCGTCACTTTACTACAGAGGGTGCGATATGCACTTCCTGTGTTTGGTGATAAATATGCTGATTGTATTTTGCTTCAAATAATAATTTGCTGTTATGATCTGCTTGCATTCCGCACCTAGAAAAATGTTTGTATACCTTGTCACTCTTCAGCTGTCGTTGCGTACAGCGGTAACAAAAATTTGCGATAATTTTTGAGCTTAAAAATAAATTTAAAACCAAGTCTTATGCGAAATGTGCAGTTTCTTGCCTTGAAATTGTTTGGATTCGCTGGACCATTGAATTAAAAACAGCCTCTTATAAGCGTTTGAATTTAAAGTTCATTACCTAAATAGAGCACTGGAGAACATTTATTACAATACTATTGGTTAGTGAAATACAGCTCTTTTTCTCCTCGCTTCGGTAGATGATAGGTCTGAGAGTTTGAAGTTTTTACGAGGTTTAAAATTTTCGATTCAAAAATATCTTTTGCAATTTACACTTTCAATCATCATATATAGTAGCAGTAGAGCTACTTGTGAAAGAGCTCGTCCAGGGAAGTAGAATAAAATGGTTTAGAAGGCTACGGGTGCTGGTGAAATTACAGGCACATGGGACTTGTCAATTTATGTCTTAGGGTGACGGGCAATGGCAGAGAGGTCCAAATGATCTTTGCGATTTAAAACTTTGACTGGCATTGCAACTGTTATAGACAGGCGTGTCGCTTACCACCAGCCACACGACTTGTTCGTACCGCTATATAATACCCAGGTATTATAAAAAAAACAATCATTCGTAAATCACGTTCACCTGAATAGAGTAAGTTGCATTTTGTAAATAGACGCCTGTTCACATTTATCCTTTACAATCAATTGAGTTTTGAGATGGGCACGCGCCCGGCTTTTAACCCGGATGTCCGGGATTAAATCGGGTTAAAACCGATTGAACTCCCAAAACCGAGGGCAAAAAATTGCAAGGTGGGTATTGTATGGTGTTGCCTCGTTTGCGTCTAAACAAGATTATTTACATCGAAACTTGTATTAAGTATGGATTTATACCATTCCGCATTCGCTATTTCTGGTCACGATTTTGGGCAGAAAAAACCGATTAAAAATCGGGCGAGTTTTAACCCACAGCCCATCACTGTTTACAATATTTATTTCAAATATATATAAACAACCTGAAAGAGCTACATGGGTCTTACCATAGATTTTTGACATCCAAGTATAAAGAAGCTGTATAATAATATAATGTGCCAAACAACCACATCTAGTATCCGGTTTCAAAGGAGGGAATTCCCTGTATTATGAGTACCAAAGCAACGGAATTAACTCCGGGGTACTACCCAGTACCAGTTTAGTAAAGTTCATTTCCCAAATAGGTCCTACCGGAAATCAAACTCAGCGCCGTCTCTTGGTCCTCTCTCTGATTGGACCATCGAGAAAATCAAACGTTTTGTTTGGCTACAGTTTTAAACCTCGTAAATGACAAAAGAATATCTACAGCAATCTATAATAACCGAAAGCGTGTGTCACAAACGAATAGGCTATATAATTTTGTGAACAGGACGCTGACCAAAATGTTTTATGGTTGAATTCGATCTTAACTATAAAGAGGCGACCGTTGTCCGTGTTTCACAGGGTTATTTGTAAAACACAAAATCCCAGGACTATATTATTAATATCATAAACAACAACCTTTGCTCCATTACTTTTATAATACAAAATAAATTTACCAAAAGTAATCTTTTAAGTTTTTGTTGTACATAGGGCGCACTATAAGTTTCCGGAACTGGCCACTTACAAAAACAATTTTTTTTTAATTTTTTTAATGGCTTGTGAGACTACATAACCTCAATTCTGCCAGTGTCCGTTTTCTAGCTTCATAAACGTTAAGGACGGTGTGTTAGAATTTTGTTCGGTGACTCAGAGGGAGAATCGAAGAGACTTTTGCGCAAATTGAATTCTAGACCAAAGAAACATGTACGAGTATATATGTTAAATATAGCTAGTGCATGAATAATATTTACAGTTTAATATGATTTACATGTATGAATTTAAAAAGAATATGATACATTTTTGGGTGAGAGGATAGGGCCAAAAGGCATTTAAAGGAAGTAGGACGAGGGATAGACGGAGGGAGGATGTCATATAGGGAACACCGTAATTTAGGGCAGTCAAAAAATATATGGTCCACGTTTCCTTCGTCTAGACCGCATTCATAAACAATATTTAAAAGTAATTACAATATTTGAAAATGGAACTCTTTGGCTGTAGAAGTTTGTTTCATCTGACTGTCACTTGGTTTTACATTGTGGCGTCAGTTTAGAAATTGATTGTTTACATCACCATGGATTGACCTCTTGAAAATTTACGTAGTATGAATTTTTACGACTTTAAATGTAATTTAACAGCTCAGCGGACCTTCGCTCGGCTTCAAACTGCTATTGGCGATGAAGCACCATGCAAGACGACTATTTATAGCTGGTTTGCAGAATTCAAACGCGGTCATGTGAATCTCAGTGACGAATTTCGTGATGATCGCCCGTCCACTGCTGTGAACAACACAAACATTAAAGCTGTGCACCGTATGATCAAATCAGACAGGCACATGCCATACCATTAGGTTCGGGCATCTTTAGGCATAGGCGTGAGTCAAATACAATCAATACAACACAAACATTTGGGTGTGAAAAAGCTGTGCACTCGGTGGATCCCACACAATTTGACTGAGGCTCAAAAAACGGACCGCGTCACTTGGTGTAATGCCATGCTAGCAGATTCAAAAATTTGGTGTGGTACATAGTAACAGGTGACGAAAAATGGATTTATAGTTACGATCCCAAAACAAGGCAGCAATCGAGCGTATGAGTCTTTCGAGATGAGCCGAAACCAACCAAAGTGGCGCGCGTGCAAAGTGCCTCTAAGCGGACGATTGCTTCTTTTTTAATAAAACTGGACACGTAGCGACTGTTGCTTTGGAGAATCGTTGTACCATGAATAGTGATTGGTACACGACCATTTGTTTGCCGGAAATTATTGACAAACACCGTAAAGATAACCGTAAACACCGAATCATCTTGCACCACGATAATGCCAGTTCTCACATGGCCAGACAAATGAATTTTTGAAGGTGAACAACGTTGACCTTATGAGCCATGCCGCGTACAGTCCCGACCTGGCTTTGTAAACAGCTATATTTATTTATTAACATTATGCGCTCCGAATTTTGTAAAAAAAAAATAAACAAAAACAAAATAAAAACAGAACAGGTCTAAAAATTAAGTTGGCGTAGTGTTCATTGAAAGTATCGAAACGTACAAACCTTTCCTCCGACGACTCCCGCTTCTTTGTTGCCGCTTAGAGTTAGCACCGTTTAGAGTGATCTATATAATAAATATTTAAATGTTTGTCCACCAGTAAAAGCTGATGAATTAGGTAGGTACTTAAAGTCAGGGAACAAAAGTTGTTTATGATGATTATTATTATTATACAAAGATCGAAGTTTTTTTTAAAATTTTTGGTGTTCATAAATCTCACTAGATGTCACTAGCGGCGACGAATGCCGAAAGCCAGTACAAAGATCTATACAAACACCCATAGGAGAATTTCGACGGCTCGGTAAATAAACCCGTAGCTCAGTTGGTAAGAGCAATGCTACGATGCAGTATAGACGGTGGATTTAAATCCCACCGGGTCGACGAAATTTTTCTGTATGTTCGATTTTTATATTCATAATCATTCCATAAGTAATGGATAACTCCATTGATTTCACAAAAAAATACAGTTGTTTATGATGTTATTAATATAGTCCAACGAGATTGTTTATTAGAGTACTTTACAAATAGGCTTGTAAATGAAGATGTTGGTCTTTTCAACTCGACGTCTTGGTAAGGTGGTGTCGCCAGTGACGCCCACCACTATACATCTTTTTTTAAATAAATTTCTAATAAGATTTAGGACAAAATTTTCTATCATAGTAACACGTTTCTTATTGATAAGTGTCAATTACTAGGTGTTCATCATTGGTGAATCGATTACTAATTCAAGTGTATTTTTGGTGGTAATTACTGGAAATTTAGAGAAATTCTAGTTTAGATTTGTTTTAGCTTAGCTTTTTTATGAAATATACTACAGTATAATCTTTCCCGAGGATTATATGTCATGCAAACTAATCACTACTGATATACGTTTAAAAACAATAAAGTTATTTCAAATATCAAGACACATTAACTGCCTCCGTTGCGTTCCGTGTGCGTTGCCACGCAGAGGTCCCAGGTTCGATTCTCGGGCCGGGAGAAATATTTGTATGGCCTACATTTATTTCTCTCGTGAGTTTGGGTGTAATTTGTGGTTGTCTATGTGTGTGTCCATGGCACCCGCGGCACAGGGTTTCCCTAGTACGGGGCTATGTTGAGTGTGAGCGTTATTAAAAAAAATCCCTTAAAATGTCGATTGGTACCATCACACTACTTATGAATTTTCTTTTACTTCCAGAATCGACAAACAATCGTGTATTATTCTTCAGTCTATTCTCAATGGTGTGCCTTCTCGGCCTGGCCACGTGGCAAGTACTCTACCTTCGCCGATACTTCAAGGCCAAAAAACTCATTGAATAACCTAACTTCATTAACTAATCGTGGGTAGATTCTTATACAGATATTCGCCCTTGTTTATATTGTTGTTGTGTTACTTTTATTCTTTAGTACTTAATACACCCGTTTGTCGAGAAGGGCTCTTGACACTTCTATGGTATATATGGTAGACTCGTATAAGATTACAAAACATAGTATTATTATACTAATTTCTATTTACGCTATAACGTGAGAAATACGCGTACAATTAAGTGAACAAAAAATACTAAATAAAAAATAAAAAAAATGACATAATGTTATTTTATTTGAGTCGCTGGTGTTAAGTTCAATTTGTTCTTTTGCACAAATAATTCAACTTTATAATGTAATTAATGCGTCACTAAGTCCAATATAAGAATCTACCCCCGTTTATTGATCTTTGAGTACTTTAATAAAATAATAAATTTTTCATTATAAAAAAAATTCTTATTTAATAATTTGTTGTAAATGTTTGAGTTCCATGTCTGATTGATGAGGATGTAAAAAATATAATTTATAAAATATATAATACTTTGTATTTTATTTAATCTAACAACAATTGGCTAGTTCGCAGAGATTACTCTTGCAAAATGAGGGGTATTAACATGTGAATTATTAAAGTACCCTCACCCCCCATTCGACAAGCCGTCTCATGTTACAAAATATAATTGTATACTATTCAAAGGCAATTGGGATTCCATATTGTACAATCTCAACCAAAAAAGCTCAAAATACAGTTACTAAAATTTTCATTATTGGTAACATTTGCTAAGAAAATATAAATTATTACGCTTAAATTAAGACGTTTTAAATTATACTTTGTGAACTAAACATTGGTTTAACTGTTGGTTTTTTTCCATTCGCATCCACTGAACGTTTATAACTAGTTAACTCCTCCTCGTTACAATATGACTATTTAGTATTCGTTTATTAACTCACGTATTTATGTCGGATTTTTGCTCGACATGTTTTGATCCAGTAGTCCTTGGTCCGTAATAATGACATTCCGCGGCGGTGACTTGACGGAAATAATTTAAAAAAAAATGTACATTTACTATTGGGTGGGTTTAACCCGTTTTATCTAAGCCAACAATATATGTTTGGTTAGGTAGTAATTTCAATTAAGCTCAATTATACTGTTCCTTTGTTGTATTTTTTTTCTAATGGGGTTAACATGTTCAATAATGATTAAAGCCCGCAAATAAATACAGTGTTAAAAAAAGATTGGTATTTTTTTATTCAAAATAATAAACAGTCGTTTTGTGGGTTGCTAGTTTCGAATAAAACGTTGCTGTCTTAAAAGATCGACTTATTCACTCAGTAAGTCCTCAAGGTAAGTTATTATCTTCTTAATAATTAACTACTAACGACTAAATGTAAATGAAATATTGTTTAGCAGATTAACAGTTATAAATCTTTAACGTTTCCTTTGTAACTGGTTCTGTTTCAGTGAGTAAATTGAGAACTTAAACACATCACTACACAATAAACTGGGCAACATTATTTTCGCAGCGACTTAATGTCGGTTTGCAAACTAAATGAGAGCGATGTCTCACGATGCGTTGCGTCGGCATTGCGATGTCTGAATGGTGACGCTGTGTATTACGGAACGCATGTACATCGGACAAGGCACCAGGAGACGAAGCGAGAAGGGTTTAAAAGGGGGCATTTATTATCCTGCATTGCAGACTACCTTGTCCGCAGGTTGAGGATTATGAACGTAGTCGCAGCGTGCAAGCCATCCTGCAATTCGTCCTGCGAGACTCCATACGTGGGCCATACGCAGGATAGTGTGTGAGCAGTCTCCTGCCTGCGCGGCAGAGTGCCTTGCAGGTAGTGAATGGGCCGTTTAAGTAAGCGTTACTTTGCGATACCACATTGCTCATGTGGCACATGGTGCGTTGAAATCATAGCGTTGAGACGACGCAAAACACCGACAGAGCCCGTGGGACAGACATTGAGTAATAATAATATGTTGCCACCTTGATTGTGTGTGGGTATTTGGGCGCGAGGAGCACACGAATAAGTACTGTACATGGACTGTTTTGTAGCACCACAATCACATTAACTAGCGTCTCTGAACATCTGCGTAACTGCTCTGAAGCATTGGGAAAATAATAAATAGTGTTATCGTGGTAAGAAACCTGAAATTAGTGACAATAGTTCATATACAATTAAGATTCTATTCAAACGATATACAAATATCTTGCTAGTATGAATTTCATTTGCAATACATTCACTGAGTTTTAATTCCCATGCCTACTTATTATAAACTGGTTGGTATAGTCAAGATCACAAAAAGCTTGAAACTTTGGGCCGTTCGTATTGCAAGCGGCATAGATTTCAATTTAAATCATGTGACAAGTTTGACGTGCTCTTAACCCTGTACAGTCAGCGTCAAAATGATCTAAACAGTCAATCTAACTAAAAATATCTATTTGAAAAGTGTGGTCAATTTTGTTTTTCACAGGACTCAAAACACCGGTCAAGAAATAAAAAAAAACTTTAGGGCACTGAATTTACAGTTATACAAATAAAATGAATGATTTTTGTGATATACGCATGTAATCTTTTCATTAAGTGTCATATCAGACGTTTGTATAATAGCCCAATCAAGACGTACAATTGTATCCAGCTTTTAAAAGCTTTTTCTAAATGACCTTTTTCTCTGTTTAAAGGGTGACATAATTCAAATATCTATAACGTCATATTCTTGATGAAAACCCAATGATATTTGTGAAAAAACCTGTGAGACAATAGTAAAAGAGCGCGAGAATGTTGGCCCCCGGATTTGGCAGATTAAATGGCTCCCAAAAATATTTTAATTAGATTTTACAAATATTAAGATTGTACTAACGAACTGTATGGATGACACGAAGATTAATACTATTATTCATCATCAGCCCATTTTATACGTCCCACTGCCGGGTGCGGGTCTCCTCTCAAGCGAGGGTAGCAGTAGCGCCTTCATCCAGGGTAGTACTGCCTGCCATCTTACGTATTTCTACCGCCAAGCGGTAACGTGCGTTCCTCTTTTGAAGGGTAAGAGTGCTGGTGAAATGACAGGCACTGTCAACTTATGTCCGAGGTTGACGGGCGCAGTGGTAGTAACCCTCAGATGTTTGCGATTTAAAGCTCCGAGTGGCACTGCAACTGTTATAGACAAGCATGTCGCTTAACATCAGGCGCACGACTTGTTCGTCCCGTCACTTGGCGTTATAAAATACACGTTTCATCACGTTTTCTTTCACCATTACTATTATTATTATAACTGATGTTATAAAAAATATAGGTTGATAGACCGCGATTGACACGAACTACGGCTCAAAGTTGATGTAAAATTTCTACAACCAATTTGTAAGATCTTCTAATTAAATCATCCTTGAGTCGATGACCTTCACAAAGTGAACGTATAGATCCAATTGATCGCAACATAAAATGGATAGAAATGAACACTCAGGTCAAAATTTTACAGATCATTTTGTCTTTAACTGTACAACAAATGAAAGCATCTACTAAGCCCTCCGCCAGTGATACACCTTCACGGGCGTCTCTAATGGACCCTTGGTTTTGGCCGCGCCGGGGTTTGCGGTGAGCTGCAGAGACGGACATGTTCGTCTGCTCCGGTGGTGTGTGGCCGGGGCGCCCGTCTCGTGCGCAGCTAGCGCGTCTTAGTAGCGATGAAGACGAGGGCCTAAGGCGAAGAGACGCGCAAGTGAGTTGCCCTTTAAGTTGGAAGCTATGTCCGGATATTTTCGCAAGAAACTGCGATCGATATCTCCGGTACTAGCCCGGAGAGCTAGTAGATGAGCTAGATATTCTCCGGTACCTCTAGTCGCGTAGGTTTCTGGGAGCTAGAGAGATGCCTCGGCGTCGGGAAGTAAGCGTGCCTTACAGCTCCCCCACCAAAGAGTAGATTTGGTAGTGGACTTCAACGAGTCAACGGCTTAGCGGTGGCAACTGCTAGTTGTGCCATGCGCAACGAGAAGTGAGTGTGCCTACAGCTCCGGTACCTCTCTGGAAAATAGGGAGGTTACTGCACGTGCACCAGTGGCAGCTCATACGAGGCACTAGCCTCTTGAGAGCATGATGAAGACAGTGACAACGGTCTGTGACAACCCTGTATACTGACTGATCTGGAGTTACAACCTGAACTTAGAAGGTTCCTGTGTGCGCAAAGGTTATAGTGCCCTCCTCGTATACCCTAAGGGTCGATAGGGAGGGTCACTGTAATCAAAACTTATGTAGAAGGGTACGGGGACTGTTCGTGTGTGTTCAGGAGAACCCGAGACAGTCTATTACGCACACATCGTTGCCACAATAGAACACCCATTTTGATAATAAACTTTTAACCCCGAACCCGGTGACACTGAAAGAGAAAACTGTTTTTTGGGAGTGCGTCTGCAAAAGAACCGCAAATTTGATGATACAACGAGCTCACCTAAGAGTTTGAAATGGTTCTAATACTTCAGAAACCTTAGGGGGCGTGGGCACAACAAACCACGAAAGTTTGAATGTATAATATCAGAATACACGCGGGACAAACAATACAAACAATCATACATTTTTATGTACCGCACTGCTAATACAATAGTGTATTAACTCAAAAAATGTATTTTTTCAGTATCGATCAAAAACGAATTACTCGCTTCCAGTGAAAGATTATACTTTATGTATAGGTTAAAGTTTATTACAGACTTCTAAAAAAATTCCTACTTGCCAAATGTATTTAAAATTAAAAAATAATTTCATATTTTGTGTTTTTTCCAGAACTAGTTCACATAAAGTTTATCTCATATATTGTGTTTCTTACAATATTCTAATAACGGTTTGAAGTATAGAGAATCAGATTTTACGCTTGAATTTCACATATTGAGTTACAACACTATTGTAACAGCAGTGCTCGTTTACTAAGAACGTATAGGATTATAAATTCGGAATGTATATGGGCGATTTCTTTGTAGATTGATTTGTTGACCCAGCCAGCTTATAGGGAGCCATGCGAAGATAACAAATTCGAAATACATGCGGGCTCTCTTTTGTTGGTAGTTGCCTTGATTTTTTTAATCCACCAGGTTGTACTGAGCCAGTTTTTTGCGGACTTGATGTATTGAGACCTTTGGTCTGAAATTATAATTAAATGTATTGCTGAGTTCTGTTACATGCATTCAAAAATCCCATCATGGAATGTAATCAAGAGTGTACAAGTATAATACAACCACAATAAAGAAAAATTAAAGTAAATTAATTACTTTAACTAAAAAATTTAATAAAACTAAAACCCGCATACAACATTCGCTAAAATCGGCATTCTTAGAGCTATGAGGGAACACCAATTCAGCTTCAACGTAGTGGGGTACAAAATACAATTCGATAACGAAAATTATAGAAAATAAAATTGTTATAAAAAATCTATACAACAATGCAAATCGATTCATTAAAATATTTGCTAATTTTAAATAATTTTTTTTACGCATAAATAATGCATTTCTCTACAAAATTTTGTCTTGTGCTATTACATAACTAATTAAGAATATGAGCCGTGGAAAAAAATCATTTTAGTCGTAAAGAAAATTAATATTATAAAAAGCACCTTTGCGTAAGGTGGTCACCACATTTATATGTATACGTGAAATCACATTAAGCTGGTCTGAAAAAGCTTTATATTCATGTAATAAGACCGTATATTTCGCGACGCACAGAGTTTTATTAACCGACTTGAAAAAAAAAGGGGGGTTCTCAAATCGATTGTATTTTTTTGTAATTCGTGAACCGATTTTGATTATTCTTTTTTTTTATTGTTGGAAAGAGGGTATTCGAGTATTGGTCCCATTTCAATTTGAAGAAAACATTCCACAACAAACTAGGGGATGAATCCGGTTTCGCGCACTTTTCGGTAACCGATTTCAATAAAATTTGGCAATTAAACGTAATTCCACGAACTTTTGAGGTCAGTTTTTTTATAAAAACATTATAAACCTCAATTTTCTGACAGCCCTTTTCTATATTTTTCGTTTGAACTAATACAAATGCAAGAGTAGAACACGGGTGTGACTAAGTAGTATAGTTTCAAAAATTTTTTTTAAATTAATTAATTTTCGCACAAATAAACATAAAGCCGGTTGTAGTGATATTAGCGAGAGTTCGGAATTGCATATCGCACTGCTATTACAATAGTGTCGTAACCAAAAATTGTGGAATTGAAAAATTACGATTTGAAAATTAAAAAAAACGAAGGAAATGTGATGTGAAATCAGTCTGCAAAATTTGTATATACAATCTATTTTTGCTTTTCTGTAACTTTGTGCTTTAAGATACAAATTTGAAAAAGTGAGTCGACTAGACATGGGTCATGGATAAATATCATTGGGATAAATACTCCGGATAAATATCCATTTTTACTCCATATATATCCAAAAACGTGGATAAATATTTTTAATCGTGGTTTATTATTTATAGTTAGTAAAACAAAGTATATTTTTAAAACACTTTGTGTACCTACACGATTATAAACATTTATTTTTTATATAATGTGTTTTAATTAATACATTTTGTGTGTAAAATGTGAAAGAGAATCCTTAGGCTGTTTCAAGTCCAAACATGACTTTATTTAGTACGCAGTAGACCCCAAGACCATAAAGTTAGGTCGCACTTTATTAACGCAGGGTAGGTCAGCTCAAGGGTTACAGTTAATTTGATAAGTTTCTGTCAATCGAATTTATTATACCACTCGACTCGAAAAACGTAGGTAGAACAGTATTGTTACATAAAAGAATGGCAAAAACGTAATTATTTAATAAAAAATTGATTCTAATGAATTTTATTATAAAAAACACAAAAAAATATTTGGATAAATATGAGTAAAAATGGATATTTATCCTTAGACGGATATTTATCGGATAAAACCCCATCTCTAGAGGCGACGATATATATATTCTCGTTTATAAATGGCGAATTAAGTATTATGTATAAATAAAAATAATCACATTATTCGCAATAACATCCATTTAGTACTTTTTAATTTTCAAATAGTGTTTTCTCAATTCTACAATTTTGAGCTACGGCACTATTGTAATAGCAGCGCGATATGTTGAGTGTACCGTTCGCATAAAAACCACAAATATAAAATCATAAATACAACCATAAATTCTTCTGTAAACACACAAATACCACTACATATGCAATTCCCAGCTGTCGTTAATATCACTAGGGCTAATAATTTTTAACATTAATAATTTTTTACATTTAATTACTATAAGGACTAAAATGACTCAATTTACAAAAAAAAAATTCTATACATGTTTGTCACACCGGTATTTTACTCTCGGTATATTAGTTCAATCTATAGGATAATAATCTCGAAGAAAAATGGCCTGGTACAAAATTGGGGTTTGTAAAACACTGTTTTGGCAATCTTAGCGGCAGCAAAATGCGCAAGTCATTTTCGCTCTTACCGCATAGACAAAGCTTTTCCTGACCGGCTCGCTGAAGCCGATTGTGTGTTAATAAATGTGGTGACTCCTTATATCAAAGTTTAAATGATAAGAATGGTAAGAAACTGTTGAAACAGTCTAAGATTCAAAAGTAATAATTTATTTGAAAATAGATAATCTAAAAAGTGCTCATTAATAGGAAAGAATACCGTTGGGTTTTTCAGCTGAAGCGCCAGTAATTGCGTCAGGAAGCAAACTTTTTCTTTTATTAAAATGCAGCCTGTGTGATATTGTAACAAGCCTGAAATCAACAACCAAGTCGTCTACTTCGAATGTCGATATTTAGAAATAACATTAATGTTCCCAAATCAAGCGAAATGTGTTTAAAAAAATCTAACGACTTAATGCTTTTTAAAATTTTTTACAAAATGTCATTTCAAGTTAAAAGTTGGGTTGAATTTCAAAGTACGGCGGGAGAATTGGCTTTTTTTAGTTTGATTTGAATGCTTTATAGTAAAAAAAAAAAATGTATAACGCGTCGAGAAAATGTTTGTTTACTGAAGCACTGGAATGCTTCTTGTGAAGAAAATTAAGCACCTATATAAATTAAATATAATGTGACCTAATGTGTCTATGTCAGTTTTTGGCCATACCCTGACCCTGATTTTCGAAATGTAACTCATAGGCTGCTAACAGAGTGACTGCATGTTTGCAGTTAATGCGTGAAGTCATAATCAACTCCATACAGCCAACATCTCGACAGCGTGAAGCTGATAACGACTACACGCATTAACTCCATGAAGTCGAGGTTTCGGATAATTACTTCATGCATTAACTGCATGGAGTCGAAACCAACTTCATGCAACCGAGATCGACTGCATGCAGTTAATGCGTGAAGTTGTTATCAACTTTACACAGTCGTGATCTTGGCTGCAGTCAATCTGTTAGCAGCGATAATCGCACGTAGTATACAAACAAAATTTAATTAAATACATTACATTGCTTATATACAATAAAATTTTCTCCACTATGTGGAAATAAACTGTACATTTGTGATTCTACGAAGATCAGAGAGGCGAGTAGTCCAACTGTACTGTTAAGTGTTTTACTCCGGCTTCTCTGAAGATCCTACCAGCTTGTTCTGTAACATATCGTGGATCAACTTCTTTCGCAACTTCTAATTTAATGGCACCTACGTGTACGTTGCTGCATAACGTCCAGAAATGCGGCTCTTGCACCGCGTGGACGCCGGCTAGACCTACAACTCTAGTATATAAGTTGGGCAGCATTCTTTCGATCGCGGAAGGAGTCCGTTGCATTAACACACCAGCCGAATCACGCACTAAAGGCAGAACACTTCCCGCTATAAGTAGAGCTATTGCCATCGAGCAAATCGGGTCTGCTCGCATCCATCCGAACATTCTCATAAGTATCGCTGATATAATAACCCCTACAGATCCTAATGTATCGGCCAGGACGTGGAGGAAGACTCCGCGCATGATGGCGGATCCTTCTCCAGTCGGGGCTTCGATGTCATCGTGCGAATGCCCGTGGTGGTTGTGCGAGTGGCCGTGGCCGCCGTGGGAGTGACCGTGGCCACCGTGGCCGTGCGCGTGGCCGTGATGGAATGCGTAGATACCCACTAGGTTCACTAAGAACCCGAGAATCGACACGAGTAGTAGTCGCTCGTGTTTTACCTGGAAATGAAAAATTTTATTGTGAATCACGTAGACTTTATAAAACTTGTAAATCTATGAAACTAATAATGCCGCCGTTAGTTGAAAGGGTGGTGACAATCACCCAGATAAAGATTTTTTTTTTTTAATAGGTACCTATCCATTTTTCTCTTCCGGTAATTTCATACCTTATCCACATAAGAAAAAAATATAATAGTGACAGATCGGGCTTTTGTTACTGATCACGGCTGTATATATAATAATTTTTTTGATGTCACATTCAATTTTCACAATATTCAAATTTCAACAAACGGCAGCGGAATAACTAAGTGGGGTCTATGAAGTCATAGATAAAACACAAAAAGCTTAATTCGTAACCTCCATTAATGTGAACTTTTGAGTAGGAATAAATACGAGAATTATCATTATTAAAAATAATTATATGACAAAGATCCTACAAATTATACTTTAGCCTCTAATTGCCCGATATTGTGCTTGAAGAGTAAAAAAGGCATTTCGTTCAAAAACCGTTACGAGTTTTTATAATTTAGCCGACGTTATTCTATATTTAAAACTGACCATAAGCAAGCGAGTATACGTAGTATAAATGGGGTTTAGATTACACACGTTTTCCAAGTTACATCGCTTTCATGACGATGTTTTCCTTTACCTTTAGCGATAGATTCATAGATGCACGTAACTTACAAACTAATGTCATCTATACATGGCCCACAGGGTTTCGAACAGTCGACTTTCCAATTGAGAAGGAACCGTTCTCTCACTACTAATTGGGGGTTACAAGGGGTTATGAAAGTGTTTTCTTTAACCACATTTTACACAACTACAAAGTTTCTTTGTCCATTTCAAAGATAAACATTCTACCTACATGAATTGTAGAGAAAATCCAAATCAGTTCTTTTGGCAATCATGAACGGATGTCGTTTTTGAACGGTTAGGTGTGAAACGTAAAATGGGTGATCGACATTAACGGAAAACGGTACCAAGTGTACCTAAAGTTTTTCTGTCACTATTGTTTTAAACCTCGTAAATGCCAAATTTCGAATATCAATCGGAATCTTATTATAGAAGCGTATAAGTCGCCTCTTAAATTAATCAGTGACTTGAAGACGACCGTCAAGAACAGCCAGTTTATTTTTATTCCTCGTATTAATGTTATGTTCGTTACTATTTTTCATAATACTATTATTTTAAACATAAATTAAATTTTCATAAACGTACTGTGACGCTATTGTAAGCATGTTAATTTCTTTAAGCTTCTCAAAGACACCCTGGAGCCCAAATTATAAATTGTCCCTAACCGCATGTTTTTGCAGGACAAAGATTCTATTAAATCAATGAAATTACTTCAAAGCAAAATGCCGTACGTTATTAAAGTAAGAAAGTAGCTAAAGTAAATCAACCTCTTCATGTTTTAGTACTGCCACCGTACGTACTTCTGCTGCCAAGCAGTAATGTAAGCATTATTGCGCATCAGTTTAGAAGAGCCAGGGTTTTGGTGAAATTGGGTATATAATAATTACAATAATATGTGCTACAGGCACAAGGGGCTTTATCACTTGGTACCATAAACAAAATCTACCGCCCACAATGCTCACCGTTGTAACATAAAAGTCGTTAAGTAACATAAAAACAATAAGTGACAAATGAACGTGTCTAACATTTAAATAATTCATTTTACGAGAAACCGCAACGTCGCAACAAAAAACTAGATAAACCGTGCTCTAACAGCACACGTTCCGTTCACGCTTTTCAGATATTGTATTGATAAATTTGAGCAACTACTTTCGACATAACGCCGTTGACAGTGTCGAAAATTTAGGAAACTCTTACTTGAGAAACATTCTTGACTGTCAAATTGTAACAGCCCAGTGATTGTAATAACAAGGTCATTGGACAGATGTCCTACACTGAAACTGAGAGTAGGCTACATTATATTTTATTTTACTATTTATTCATTCATTTGAATCAAGCAAATATAGCCCATACAATATATTATAAGAACTAACATACATATGATATAATATAAAAAGTAAATAGCTAATCCGCGAATTGCTTGTCGGCGAAGTGTGGTGCAATCTGGTGTCAGGTAACAGGCTGCGGAACCGCGGATTTATTTGTATATATGTAAACACTTCATTGTACATTACAAACAAATTACAATTTTAACAAAGAAATTATTTATACTTATATATTACATTTTACATTTTTTTTATTTGGCAACCGGTAACTTTAGAGGATCAGCGGTCATTTTTCCTACTGACATACGTGTCCGTAACAATTTTCGTAAAAAAAAAAAAAATATTATTTTTAAAATGTTTGTAATTGGAATGAAAATACAGCTGCGTGTTAGACACCGCGACGCTTTAGGACGCTACGGTATCAAAATCATTAGCGAAATCGCGTGTCTGTAACGATTGTACGTGGACGAGTGGCGGATTAAAATTTTATATTTATAATTCAATAACAGATCTTTAAGAGCCAATACCTCAGGTCGAATTCAAACTTTTTCCCGCACTAATAAGGTTCATTTTGCTTGGATCGTGCGGCAGGGACACTGGCTTTATTTCAGAATTTATTTTTTCACAAACGTAATTAAAGCCATTTGAAAAATGTAGGTATACCGTATACCATACATGTCCTATTTAGTTCAGTTGATATAAAAAAAACCATTACTATTGAATACAGCGGTGTTTTTGTAAAATTTCGAGGTACGTTTGTATTATTTTTTTCTATCGTGAAAATTCTTAGGAATCGTGTTTTCACACCGTAGAGTAATCCTCATCTATATATTTATAGTATATATAGTATATCCTCAATTTTACTATATATTTTTCCAAAGTGAATTGATTTAACACTTTCACTGTTGTGCGGAATCAATCAAAGTCATTTGTGGTTGTATATTATATGTACTCTTAAATCGCAAAGATCCGTGGGGCACTGCCATTGCACCCGTCACCCTGCGACATAAAGTTGACAAGTCTCAAATGCATGTAGTTTCACTAGCACCTTTACCCATCAAAACCGGAACGCAGTAATGTTAACATCATTGCTGGGCGGCAGAAATAGGTTTGGTAGCACTTCTCGTTATATGTATTTGCTAAAACAAAATAAAACAAGTACGCCCAGTCTAGGCATTCGAAGAGGTCACAGGGGGTCTACTCTCTATTTCCGTCCGAAACAATTACTGTCAAAGATGTAATATTCGACAAAATTAAAAGACAAGTATCCAGTATGAAGCTTCATTTGCATCACGCGTCTTTTCATTTGATCAAGTGTTGCTTATTTGGCAGTAATTGTTTCGGACGGATGTCGGACGGAGATCGAGACTAGACTCCCAGGTTCCCAACTATTAAGAAAATGTTATTTTCTTGTTGAAGTTGGTTCAGTAATTTCATTATCTTCTTGTTTGAGGCTATTATGCTATCTAACGGCCAGGTTACACGCTCGAGCTCCATTGCGAGTAAATTATATTGCGACATTAATGGGAAATTGTGTTGCGACTATTGCTTAATATTTTTAATCTGCTGAGGGGCCCTGTATAGCTTTTGTTGTTAAAGTTGGATCTTCTTGGAGCATAGTCAGCGCACTTATTAAAAAACACACCTTGTGTTTAAGGCGCAAATATAAAAAAAAAATTTCTAAGCAATCGTAGTTTTTGAAGTAAGAAATTATTTGAAAATTTGGCTTGATAGAGTTAATGCCGATGCCGTAAAACCTATGTAAAAAAAGTTACAAGCCTCAAATTGATTTAAAATTATCTACTGTTAGCTCATGCCATGTTTACTAATAAGTTAAAAAGATTAAAAAGAGACTATAAAACTGTTTTATAATTTACACTAGTTTTTTTTATTATTAAAATAGAAAACGTAATTAGTAAAGTAAGTTAAGTTGTAGTGGGGCACAGGTTTTATGTGGAGCATGTAATAACTTTAAGACCTGTTCCAGTGACATATAATGCAATAAATGACATGACTATGACAAGAGGTGGGCGTTTAAACGAAAACCACTTAAAAAAATTCTTTTTTTTAACTTATATAAGTTTGCTTTTTTTAAATAAGCACATATGCACGCTTTTCAATTTAAGCGTAAGCGTTAAGAACGTGCTTATGTTTCAAGTCCCGCCATCTATGTTTCCTAAACAAATTATTTTCTGAATGAAATAAATAAAACTCGTGTCTTACAAATAAACTTACTTATCTTAAAACCTTTAGTGAAAAGTTACTTTTCTACATTGACCCGACTGGGGATCGAACCCGGGAACTCAATGACGGCGATACCATGCAAACCGATATGCAAGTCACTCGACCACGGCGCGAAGGTCGTCAAATGCTGTGGAATACACTTTTAATCAAATTTCCTTCCGCGGTACCGACGACGTTGCTATACGTGTCACGACTTCATTACTCTATAGCAGACATTGTAGAGTAGGTACATACGGGTGAAAGCCAAAGCTGTCCTCAGAATCGAGCAGTTGGAATCCCGCCCCAATGTGAATTTTAATTCATTTGTGGTGAGAGTACCAACTTAACATCGTGGGCCTTCATGAAGGAGGACTTTTGGCCGAAGAGTGTCATCTTCCGGCGTTTCCGAGGACAGTTATCGGACACCCACTCACACAAATCGTTGTACTGTAAATTTGGACCATAGATATAGGTTTGGACTTGGGTCTTTCTTAATAAAATTGTATATAGAAAAAAGGAGGGGGCTGCAACGTGCTGTTAAAATAGGCCCATCCCTTTCATTATCACAGTGATAAGTAACTTTATTGTGATCACCACTAATTACATTTTTCAATAACTGTAGCCTTACCCATGTATCGTGAAAGCAATAAACTAAGGCGAAAGCAATATTATGAATTTTCATAAAAACAACACGGCAATTAAACATAACAAAGCACAAAAATGTTAGACTAAGCATGACAGGACAGAGAACAAAGGACCTTATTTCAAAACTCGTAAGAGTAACTTAGTGTTACACTATGATTTCCTGTACAAGTACAA